GAATAAACGGAAAGAATCATGCCTTCTAGCCTATGGACATCGGACATGTTGCTGTCATCATCATTTCCGGTTTGACCCCGATCATCCCAGCGTCTTTTTTTACTCCTCCTACTATTATCAGTGGTGTCCATTCTCGATGATGCTTCATCCTCAGATGTGATACCGGCAGCTGGGGTTGTGGATGTTTTTGTCTTTGGATCATCCTGCAACGCAGATGGCGATTCAGACAATGAGCTAATTTCGGACGAATCATTGGGTGTTGAAACTGGGCTGTCCGATTTTTCTAATGTTTTATTATCCGGAGATTCATCATGGGCGTTTATCGTAGAGCCATTAGACTCTTTGATCACAGTGCCATTTGCTTCTCCTTCGGTGTTAGATTTCCAAGGAGTCTTCGACTTAACACCATTCCTCTCGGGCCTAACTTGTTCCGTCTTCTCGGCTGACGAAAGTTTTATCACTTCAGTTTCATTGTCCGTGTTAATTTGACCATTAGAATGGGTTCTGGAATCTTTATCGAGCGAAAAAGCCGACCCGGGTATAAATATTTCTTGATTATCAGACTGTTTGTCGAGAGTCCTGCCCATTGATGGAGTCGATTTTAGCATCAAGTAGGTGGTTTACGAGTGTTTGCTTATGAAAATGTGTAGTATTGCGAAATTAAAGGAAAATTAATAATTAATATATAAGGTTTCTCTCTTTTTTTTTTTTTTTAAAAAAAAAACTGTTGAAAAGAAATGTTATGCTTAAAGTAAACTATAAACCACCAAAGAAATATAGTACTGAATATGTGGAGTGGTTAATTTATGAAAATAAAGTAATGACGTAACACAATGCGCCGGTCTCATGATATCAGGCAAAGCCACACGTATTTTATTAATCACATGATGAATCTGATATAAAAAAATGAATCATCATCGTTATCCGAAAAAAGATGACCGAGTATGTTGCTGGCTCTTTACTTAAATGTTTTCTGGGAGATAAGAAGCCTACGATAGATCGTGAGCTAGACGCCTTATTCAAAAATAGTGTAAGTTTAATTAAATGTTTACAGTATGTAACCGTAATGACGCACTCTACCTCAACAGGCAGGACCATCAGTCTCCAGGGAAACGGTTGCTGAGACGCATGAAAATTCGAAACGTA